CGGTTCATGATCTCAATCAGAAACGGAAATGATGAGACAAGTTGGCGTAACTCGAAATCGGCGAAACCTATTGGACCGAAGCTGGACAGCGAAGGTTAGGTACGGGAGAGATGCTGGAAAGAGGAAAATGCTCCGCACACTCAGGGAGTTGCTCAGATGTTCAAAGGTGCACGAAATGCACTTACAGGATGTGAATCTCACAGATTTAGGATCTTCAAAACAAAGGAGGGAATGACGATGAATTTTGTCCAATGTTATGTACTCACTAATAACAGCAACGACAGCGATAAATATCAGTTCGAGAAGCTGCAAATCATCATAGCGAAGTGCCCTGGAAAGGACAATCCGGATGGGAGATCTAAGCGCCAAAGTCGGAATGGACAACACCGGATATGATGATATCATGAGGCGACATGGACTAGGAGAAAGGAACGAGAAGGGAGAGAGATTTGTAAATCTGTGTACATTCAACAAGTTGGTTACAGGTGGCACAATATTCCCATACAAACGCATACACAAAGTTACGTAGATTTCACCGGACCACTCCACGGAGAACCAGATGGGTCGTATTTGCACCAGTAAAAACTTCACAAGGTCAATGGAAAGTGTGAGAACCAGGAAAGGAGCTAACATAGCCTCAGATCACCTTCTGATGGTTTTCAAGATGAAACTGAAGCTAAAGAAGCACTGGACAACTGGGGAAACAGTATTACATAGGTTCAATGCAGCCTTCCTTCGATACACTGATAAGCTCAACGAATTCAAGATAACTCTCAACAACAGGTTCCAAGCCTTAGAGATTCTACTGAAAGAAGAAACTGCGTTGGGGGACAACTGGAAACGGATCTAAAAAGCACTAACTTAAAAGTTTCAGAAGGTGCTGGGCCGCAAGAAGCATCATCATAAGGAATGAATCTCTATGGAAAATCTGGACAAGATTCAAGAAAAGAAAGAAAAACAAAAAGACAGCAATTAACAACAGCCGAACAAGAGCAGAGAAAGTCAAGGCACAAGTTGAATATGCAGAATTAAACAAGCAAGTAAAGAGGAGCATTAGAACTGACTAGCTGAAATAAGTGGAAGAGCTAGCAACGACAGTGGGAAAAGCTTCAAGAGAAGGAGATATGAGATAGCTATATGACACAACGAATAAACTAGCAGGAAAATATAATAAACCAGAAAGACTGGTCAAGGACAAAGAAGACAAGCCAATCACTGAAATTCAAGGACAGAGTAACAGATGTGTAGAATATTTTGAGGAACTCTTGAATAGACGAGCTTACATTTAACCAAACGATTTGGACTTCGCATATAACCTAGTCCTTTTATCCAACACGAGCAAATGCAGGTTAAGACAACCAGGGTAGCAACAGTCTCTGCATCAGTACATCTCAACATACACAAGGGAAAAAGCAAGATCCTTAAATACAACATGGAAAACACCAACACAATCACACTTGATGGAGAAACTCTGGAAGAGGTATAAATCAACTGTAACTATTTTATAAACTAGCCAGTGGCTCAGAGGTTAAGGCAATCAATTTTTAGCCAACAGTTTACAGCTTCGAACCCTAATTCACTTACTTGTGTTTAGACAAGCGGATCGTAGTATCATTAGCTCTCTCGTGTAGAGTGGAGCTGGAAGTCAAGTACATAAATCTGTACCTTTTTAAGTGTGTCAATTAATAAAGAATATATCAACGGGTCATCTAAGCTTTTAATTATCACGAAAAAGCAAATAATAAACTAGGTTTTGTCATTATGTTGCGCCTAATATTCTCCGGATCTGACGCTATGTTATTTTAAGTAACACTCTTAGCTGTATTGCTGGATAATTGTTTTGATTCTTTTTGTCTGTTTATCAACCATTAATTTTCATACAATTTTTATCAGTAACTGTTTCATTCATGATTAAGTCAACTACATAGTTCACGACTTTTCACTAGAACTAGTTCAGAGTAACTCAGATCGTAGTTATATAATAGTGAGTACATAATTATTGGAAATAGTAAATGTAAAACTAAAAGTGTAAACCGGTCAATTACAACTCACTAATTTAACAGTTACATATACTCTGTGATGATACATTAAAATTTTAAGTTCTTTTATATGTAGAGTTGTGGCTGTACATTATGAAAAGATATCAAGCTAAAATGCGCACTGCTGCAGAGTTCCACAATAGAAAGAAACAGCCGTTTAGTACTTCCAGGTTTTCCATGATGGTCTAGCTTCAATGGACTCATGGATCTCAACCAATGAAATTACTATCATATTCATAAAACCCCTCTGACATAAAACAATCCACTCAATGGTTACTATATTTTAAGAACTGTCAAATAACCCAATGATTATTAAAAAAAAACTATGAAATCGAATCTATCATGATCTATGTTATGTTGTAATTGACACATTATAGACTAATATTTAAGTAGTATAATGATAGTCAACATTCTCTAATATGTATTTAATGTCAATATATTTTAACTGGAATTTGGACAAGTAAATTTTATATTTGGTATGTTTGTTATAATTAAAAAAAAGCAAATAGTAAACTATTATTCAATGATAAATGTGAAATTATTTCAAATAGTGATTATCTTGTATAGTTTAAGTACCAAACTAATCGTTTTTATTTTATGTATCATTTATTTGAACACATAAATATTGGTACAAGGAGGCACCAAATACATATGCACCACACAAATCTCATTCGATATGTGTGAGGGCTGTAATACTGCTCGGGTGCCCAAACCGAAGCAGGTGGTTTTCTTAGGGGGCCACTCCCCGAGCCTTCGACCTGAAGGTCTGATCCCCAAAGCAATGGAACATCGTATGGAGATGCAGTCCCATGGTAGCCGGTGACCAACGATTGGTTCATACGCCATTTGTTTATTGAGGATACTGGAGCCCATGTGCCCCATTGGTTTGGGATCCGGTTAAAGCTCCGGACATTCGCTTTTCGTCCTCTCATTTTCGTAAACAACACCCCCGTGGTGTGAGAAGGCAGTGAGTATGACTTCCCTGGTAGAGGCTATATATGCGTGGCCATGTGAGAGCATTTGGAGAGGGAGAGCAGACTCTCCCCACTCTCGGCCATACCAGGGCATTTGGGGGCTATTCACAGTTATATAATATACCCTTGTGGGCCAGGGTAATATTACACTGTTTTTCAGGAGAACCAGACACCATCCGGACTTTCACGTGACAACCCAAACAGTACAGCTCAACCCCGTTTAACAGATCAGCCAGACACCAGCCAGGCTTAAATTTTATAAAGCGAGCAGTACAGCTCAATCCCACTTCACAGGAGAACCAGACACCGTATAGGTTTTAACGCTACAATCTGAATAGTACAGCTCAATCATGTGGCGCAACCGCACAGGTACCAAGCACACTGGTGAACCAAATCTTTTTTAGAGATTCGTTGGAAATTCGGAAGAATTAGACAGCTTTTTCGTTGTAACATTTGATACATCCATATTTCTGCCAGGAACTGTACTCTGAACGTTCATGTTTTAAGTTGAACTTTTAACCGGAAGTAAATAGAGTTAAATTCGAGCTTGAAAACTAATATTTCATTATTTTATTTTATTTTATTTCAACACATACATAATGGTACAAAGAGGCACCAAATACATATGCGCCACACAAATCTCATTCGATATGTGTGAGGGCTGTGATACTGCCCGGGTGCCCAAACCGAAGCAGGTGGTTTTCTTAGGGGGCCACTCCCCGAGCCCTCGATTTGAAGGTCTGATCCACAAGGCAGTGGAGCATCGTAAGGAGATGCAGTCCCATGGAAGCCAGTGACCAACGATTGGTTCATACGCCATTTGTTTATTGAGGATACTGGAGCCCATGTGCACCATTGGTTTGAAATCCGGTTAAAGCGCCGGACATTCGCTTTTCGTCCTCTCATTTTCGTAAACAACACCCCCGTGGTGTGAGAAGGCAGTGAGTATGACTTCCCTGGCAGAGGCTATATACACGTGGCCGTGTGAGAGCATTTGGAGAGGGAGAGCGGACTCTCCCCACTCTCAGCCGTACCAGGGCATTTGGGGGCAATGTTTCATAACCTAACGAAATATCATTGTTTATATGAAATATTTATGAAAATGTCTTGCCGTGTAGTAAAATTGTATCACTTTAATTATTTTCTCAGAAAAATATAGTTATTTCTCTCTAACTCTTATGATATCAGTGTCTTGATTAATCTTCATTCATTCGTACTTAAACTGTATTTCAGAGTATCGAATTTGTCTAACACACCGATTCTTTGAATTCCTAATTCATTTGTTTAAATTCTTCAATTCAACAGACATACTAGAATTCCATAGATTCTTTATTGATTTGAACTTGTCCAACAGAAATTAGTCGGTTACATGCAAAAAGAAATAGTCAATACAGAAGAACACTAGGTATCTAAATAGTTTTAGAAAACTAAAGATTAAAATACGATAGAAGAACAGATTGAATACACAATTCTAGCTTCTCTAAATGTACAACAAAAGGTTCCGCTGTGTTAACGAGACTAGACTTCAGTTTATTAAAGATCAATTTTATTTCAATTCATCTTGTTGATGAATTTAAACTGTGGATGCGTTTTAATGTGATGACATGTGTTTACCAGGTGTTCGATTATGGAGCTGTTTTTGGATCTATTGTTGTCTTTTTTCAATCACATCAGATAATAATCTTCAATTATCTTGGATGAAATGCTCACTAAACGACTTATATACCCATCTCTACAGGAGCCGATGAATTGATAACCACATATAGAAATGATCTGATTCAAGAGTTTATAGTTCAGGCTATTTGTGAACATAGATAAGTTGGCTGGATGAAAGCACTATTGTCTGTTCAATATTTCATCCTATGATGTTCTAATCTTTGTCCTATATATAAATCAGGTATTTAAACCATGTATTCACCAACAGTTTTGTTATTGTAGAAATTAACTTCTGATATTTAATTTTCCACTTTCGTTTTGTTTTAATCAGCGTATTGATGAATTAACTAGTATGTTAAACGCATCTTGCTCCACATTCTTAATAACGTTGGATGAATTAATGATTTTAAGTAATGCACAAGCTCCATGGTTAAGTTCCATTGTAACAGGAACAGCATTGGAGACAAGTCCTACTATATTTCGAAATACATCATGTCTTACCAATACAGATCCTTCTAATATACATTCACCAAATATGAGGCAAGTTTAATTCATTATATAGTTGACTCCATTTATCTTTTGATCTCATGTTTAAAAGGATTGGGCAAAGCTGAATTATACAATCGAGCCAATAATCAAGAAGGATCAAGATATTTCGAGACTAAGGCGTATTTTATTAAAGTGGAATGTTATTTGTTGAAATGTGATGATTAATTTTAACATTGAAAGCATCAATAAACATTTAAGTTTAGATTTAAGACTAAGATTTAGAATTTAGACCTTAGGATGTAGGATCGGGGTTTGAGTTATGATTGGGTTGTAGAGCTTAGAGTTGATGCTTACAGTTAATATTTAGGATAATCATATATATATAAGCTGTGACTGATAAGATTCAGTTGGATTTGAAATGAAACAACTGGTACGTTTTGTATTGGAGTGTTAAGCCACGAACTTTCTAATCACTTTCTAGTTCCTGAAATTGTTCAACTTTCAAACTCTTAGTTGGAAATAAAAAAAATGTGACCTATGAAGGAAACTTTATTCCAAAGATTAATTAGTGCATGGAAGAAGCTGGTGTATTTATAGGTTTACACATATAATTTCGAGATTGAAGAACTAGTTAAAACAACATTTGTAGAACAGTGAATGAAAAGCTCACTTCTACATAAAGTAAACAATGATGATGTTCTCCAGAGAATAGCATTGAAAACTCCACAATCGAATAATCTATTCGGTTCATAGAATACAATATAATACTGTTACTCCTCGTTGAGGAGATTAGAACATCCACCAGTATTCTCCATACAACTTTGTCCCGGGCAATCCTTTTCAGTTGCTATTCATCCTTTTCATATGTGCTTCCAATTCCCAGTGCAATGTGTTCTTTGACCTTCCTTTCTTCAGTTTTCCTTCACGAATCCAAGTTAGCGATTGATTCGTGATGTAGTTTGAGGATTTCTTCAATGTGTGTCCTATCCAATGCCATCGTCTTTCCTAATTTCCTCTTCAAATGGAAGTTGGTTCGTTCTCTCCCACAGTAGGTTTTTGCTGATGGTATCCTGTCAGCAAACATTGAGTATCTTACATAGACAATTGTCTAGAAATACTCGTACTTTATTGATAATGGTTGTAGTAGTGCTCCAAGTTTCATCTCCGTACAGTAGAACTGTACGTTCGTATTGAAGACTGTGACTTTGATGTTGGTTGACCGATAGTTGTTTTGAGTTCCATATGTTCTTCAACTGTAGGAATGTTATCCTTAATTTGCCAATCTTCGCATTTACGACTGAATCAGATGCTTCATGTTCAGCGATGATTCTTTCCAGATACTTGGAACTTTCCACCCCTTCCAGAGTTTTTCCATCAAGTATGATTGTGTTGGTGTTCTTCATGTTGTATTTGAGGATGTTGCCTTTTCCCTTGTGTATGTTGAGATCTACTGACTCAAAGACTGTTGCTACACTAGTTGTCTTCATTTGCATTTGTTCATGTGTATGAGATAGAAGGACTAGGTGATCTGCGAAGTTCAAATCGTCTAGTTGAATGCAAGCTGTATATTGTATTCCGTGTTTCATCTCAGATGTCGAGGTCTTCATAATCCAGTCGACCATTAGAAGAAAGAGAAAGGTGGAGAATAAACCATCTTAACTGACCAACCAAAAATTTATTACAATCATTGGTATTAGCAGTAGTAATACAATTATTTATAATAATGATGAATAAGCATTATATTTGATAACCAATCCATTCTTGACTTCTACATTTCATCTTTAGTAATAATCTTTGTTCTTCATTGACGAATGATCCTGTCTTTCGAAATTCACATGCACAATCATCATTGAATCGTCGTCACTTCAATGCTACACGAAAATATCAAACTTTTTTTTCTACTTTAGAATATAGGTAAGTCGATATTTCACCATTAAAAACTAGTCTGTTATTGATAATTATAATTTAATTTACGTACTATTGATAGATCACAGAGTAGTGACCAATGTCATGTATGTCAAGTCCTTTTTAGCGCTGGTTAAATTCTATCGATCACGTTACTGTGTGGCCACTATTTCAAGTGACTCGACTTGTCTAGCATTATTTTGAGATGCTAAATAGTTGGAGCTAATTGATAACAAACCATGGACTTAAGTTTTGTGCTATTTGGTAATCATCAACAAGGTGTACTTGTGATCTTAAAGGATCCTGAAGGATTCAATCCTGTCTTACACAGTTCAGCTACACCGTGGCAACGTCTCTGACTGTGAATCTGGCTGACACAGAATGAGATCCGTTAGGAAGCAACAGTCCACTAAATGTTACAGTCACACGTCTGTGACGAGTACCAAATTTTAGTTGTACATTTAGTCGGTATGCGTTAGCTTCTTATATACTTGAGTTCCAAGTTTCACTGTATTGTTTCTGGTGATCCGTATGTCCAAAAATGGTAGTTTGTCGGCTAAATCTATTTATAATGTGAATTTTATTTCATCAAATACGTTGTTGGTCAAATTGTCGGTGCTTTCCAGCGGACTCCTTTTGATAACGACATATGTGTCATTTAAATGGTGAACCCAATCTCATTGAAATCAATGTCAGACCAACATTGAAAACGTGGAAGCACTGTATTACCGTTTCACCCCACTATAGGACTCCTCAGCAGAACGTATCTACTACCCTACACGCGGCGACTGAACCCAGGATCTTCGGTCTTTTGCAACAACACTTGACCTCCAAACCACTGAGCCGGTGTTATATCTTGCGACCGCCAATTAGGGAGCAGTGAATTATCGATCGGACCAAGGACGCGTAAACACGTGTGAGCAGCCTAGATTTCTGATTGGTTCTGCTTTCCGCCTAGCCCAGCCAGTTAAGTCCAGAACACCAGTCTCAGCCTCTGTAACATGAATCCTTATATTTCAAACATACTGAGTTTATATACCAATCAAACAGACCACAACGTAGCATAAAATAGAAAATAACATTTGTAAAAAATTTGGCCAAATGTGGCTGTGAATGTGGGAGGCAGTGACTAATAGATAGGGCATAATTCAAGAATGGTAAAACGTATAATAATAGTTCATAGGTCAAAATAAGTTTTATAATAAGAGGAATATGAATATGAATAGTTTAGTTATCTAACAATTAAACGACAAAAATATACGTTTAGTATTGGTCCATAAAAGGATCCCAAAGTTACCATTCATTATATTTATCGGGACCTAACACTCGGAATCCTACGGTGTTTTTTTCTAACCAATAAATTCACCTTCTTCCAATACTTTCGTTAGGTAACTGTCTGTCACCCGACATTAGAACTCCTAGAATTTCTTCTCAAATCTGGTCACTAATATGCACATAATAATTATTAGTATATAGTTGTATAGATTCTTGGCTTTCCTTATAAGTAAGACTATGATTTCCAGCCTCTGCGTAACTAATTTTCAATAGTTGTCTGACTAAGGTCATTTGGTGATGGGGAACGATGAAATTCAACAACATCTTCAAACCCCCCTCCTCACCCTGCAATGATAATTAATTGTGTTTTTCACTACTTCATAATATATATCTACATATCTTAATATTATTTTCTTGTATTACAATTGACAGTTTTGAAGAGATTAAACCATCTATACCTATTCAACCAATTCCAGATAATGATGATGAAATAAAACTACCTGGTGATTATTTATCAGCATTAGAATTTGTTAAAGCATCTAAATGTTTATTGCATTTTCTTGATCGATTAAATAATAATAACAATAATAATACTAATCAAACTAATTGTACATTATCAACTACTTCACGTACTTTTATTGCATTACAACAAATTCGTCATCGTTTATTAACTTATTTAAATTGTATTGAATTTCATGTTGAAATGCATACTTCCACAACAAATATTATTAATAATCATCATAATCATACTACTGATATGAATACTACTGTTATCGATGGAACAAATGAAAACTTATCAATAGACAGTAAACATAATAATCATGATACAAATGTAAACAATCATTGTAATATTTTATTTAAAAAAGCTCAACTCAGCTTAGGTTATCTTTTACGATATGAAGTGAAACATAAAGAATCTATTCAAGAAAATAATAATTCAGTTTATATGGCTATTCTGTGGTTATGTAGGTAAGTGTATTTGCATTCGTATTTTTTATTTCACTGGTTGAAATCATGAGTCAATTGAAGCTAGACCACTATGGGAAACCTGGAAGTACTGGATGGCCGTTTCGTCCTAGTATGGGACTCCTCACAAGTGCGCGAGAGTGACAGGTATTGGGTTGGAATCTCGCGGGGGGCGGGATCGTGGATGCGCACTGCTGAGGAGTCCCATACTAGGACGAAACGGCCGTCCAGTGCTTCCAGGTTTCCCATGGTGGTCTAGCTTCAATTGACTCATGATTTCAATCAGTGAAATTTCTAAAAATCTCCACAAAACCCATTCTGATATTTTTTATTTATTTATTTATTTAAAAAAAAATAGGATAGTTTGGCTAGCAATAAAATTCAGGTGGGGTATTTCATCCTTATCTGGATATATTTTCATCTCCAAGTGAAGTTGATATTCACTCTGGGACTCTTTTATTGTGTTTGTGTATGAGTTAACTATCACGTAAATTATATGGCCAGTTTCAAGCAGTTATCTCTTGACCACTGGGGTTACATTCTCCACTCTAATTCTTCTCTGTAATCTAATGTTTTTTTTAGAGGCAACTCAAGAAGAAAATGATCACTGTTATGACTTTATGTCCGGCTTTTTATCATGTGATTTATCCGCCAATCAAAATACGACTTATACAATCTTCGAACTGTGACAAACCGATGACGTTCGACCGGTATGGACAGTCTAGCGTCCTTATTGGTCCTATGTTCGCCTAGCCCGTCCACTTGAGTCCAGAACACCAGAAACCAGCTTCCAATATGCAAATCGGATATATATTGGGTTTATATATCAACAAAACAGACCGCAACGCACCATAAAATAGGAAATAACATTTGTACACAATAAAGCCAAAAGGTGGCTGTGAACGTGGGAGGCAATAGTCAATAAACTGAACATAGCTTAAGAACAGTAGATCGTACAATAATAAATTATAAGTCTAAATAAAGCTTATAATAAGAGGAATATAAATATACATAATCTAATTATTGAGTAATTATACCATAAGAATGTATAGATAATATTAGTCAATTAATAGGTCTCATAAGTTACTCGTGATTTAATCTTCGCTCGGATATAACAATCACCGCCTTCATACCTTTAGTGACACTCGAAGTCACCATGTTTAAAATCATACACCGGCTTAGTTACTTAATGAATATACTGGTGTTGATGTAATTCAATAACCAAGTATAGGTGTGTGTATGTTTGCAATTAGATATAGTTGTGTAGTTCGGACCTAATACTGACTAACAGAGAGTTCAATACCTCAATAACTCATCCGGTCTTGATTTATGGTTACCAGTAATGTAATATTTTGTCTGAAATATATTTTACTTTTCCATGAGTACTATCTCACTATATTGACTAATTAGTAAATAAGGTAATAACCTGTGTACGTTTGTTTGCTCCTTAGAGTTAATTAAATTCTATCGATAGAATTGCACAGGTTGAAATCATGAGTCAGTTGAAGCTAGACCACCATTGAAAACCTGGAAGCACCGGACGGCCGTTTCGTCCTGGTATGGGACTCCTCAGCAATGCGCATTCACGATCCCGCCGGCTCAGTGGTCTAGTGGTTAAGTGCTCGCGCGCGAAGCCAGTAGGTCCTGGGTTCGAGCCCCGCGTGGTGCGGGATCGTGAATGCGCATTGCTGAGGAGTCCCGTACCAGGACGAAACGGCCGTCCAGTGCTTCCAGGTTTTCAATGGTGGTCTAGCTTCAACTGACTCATGATTTCAACCTGTGAAATTTCTAAAACTCTCCACAAAACCCATTCTGATGATCAAATCGCGGTGTGGTCAATCACGATCATAGCTGTTACCTTGAAGTGGTGGTCTGACTTGCCTGTCATAGTTACTCAAACGATCTATATAAGCCGAAATGCATGTAATTTTCAAGTTCTACCGCGTTAGGCAGATCGGTTGGATAATGGTAAGACTAGAAGCAGCAACTTAAGGTCCAAAGGTAACTTGGACTGATAGACTTACGTACGTACCAGGTTTTACTTTGCAACTGACTGACCGAATGTGATCAGTTGCTATTATTTATCACTTAATGATCAATCTGCCCAAAAATCTCAGTCCTACAGAAGGTTGATTGCTACCTGAAATAAAGAAGTATACATTTTTGATAAGTGTTAATTATCACAAAACTTAATCCATTATAATTTCTCACTAATTAACTCCAACCACATAAAGTTCTTTCTAATCGCTTACTTATACATTCTATAATCGAATCCTTTTAATTCATATTTTAAAAGCTTTTGTGACTATGTTCTATACGTAAATAATTTGTTTATTATTATGCTTGCGGTCTGAAAATGTCTTATTACTTCCATTTAATCTGAAATGTATGAAAAGTGAATGCGCGGCAGTCCGTTCTGTTTTAATTTACGGCAGCGAAACATGGCCATTAAGAGTAGAAGACATTCGTAAGCTACTAGTATTTGACCACATATGCCTTAGAAATATTGCTCGCATCTGCTGGGATCACCGCGTAAGTAATAGCGAGTTTAGACGCAGGGTATTAGGGAATGATGGTAAATCAGTTGATGAGGTTGTTAATCTTCATCGACTGAGATGGTTGGGCCACGTGTTGCGTATGCCTGAACACCAATTACCACAACGCACAATGCTGACTAGTGTAGGGGATGGTTGGAAGAAAGTTAGGGGTGGCCAAACCAAAACGTGGCATCAGTGCTTGAAGTCACTAACTTTTAGTCTGATTCATGTTGACAGATGCAGATTACTTAGTTGGGGTCCGCGTGACTATCGTAACCAATGGTTGGAGACTCTTGGTGACATGGTTCAGAATCGATCACAATGGCGTCGGTGTATACACATTCTGTCTTCCCTTAAACTAAGAAATTAAAATCGCTTCATATCTTTCTTCCTACGAACTAATTCTTTCTTCCAGTACTACATCCTTATATGCAATCTTTCTTTTATATATTACCATCACTGAATTAACCACTTCTATGAACCCGGTGCTCATCTTGCTGTGCTAAAGAGGTATGGAAACTTAAGCCGATACATATGTGTGCCTGGTCCTACGTTGTAGCTGACTGAATAAGTGAAGCCGTTAATAATAATAATAATAATAATAATAATAATAATAATAACTTGCTTCACGGAGATGATTTTTTTTCAATCATTTTCACGATGTAGAAATTGTTACACTCCTTCTGCTTAACTTGTTACATAACGAATAAATCTCGGCAAATAAATAAATCAATTCCAATGATAGATGAATTGATTACTGAGTAATAACCTATGTTATGATTGTCTATTCCTTAGTGATGATCGGATTCTGTCGATCAAGTTGTATACAATTTAACTGTTAGTCTAGTTGACTTAAGTCAATACAGATGCTGATGTTAGGCTCAATCTACTAGCTAAAAATGACAATTCAGTTGAATAAGTAATGAATCTTCATCAACTAAGGTAGTTGGGACGTGTGTTACTTTTACCCATCGTCCGCTTGCCTCGATGTTTTCTAGTTTAGGAGTAGGCTGGTAGAAAGCTAGAAGTTGGACCAAACCCAGATATAATATTAGTCTGTGTAATCACTGATAATTGGACTAAACTGTGTTAAGTAATACGAACCTCCTAGTTGAAGTCGTTGAGTTGTATGGCTCGTAATCGTCTGCAGTGATGCAAATGTACTCATCAACTGTTTTCCTTTTGACCTTAAATTTTAAAGTTGGCTCATAGTTTTTTTTATTCCATAAATGGATTTTTCTTCTTCTTGAATCATGTTACCTATATTAAATCTTTCCTACCCCCACTGATATTCTGATCAATTTTACTACTGTGGTATTTATCTTGAATTGATATTATTCTACCAAGAGAATCAGTCTGAAATTAGTTCTTCTTACTACTGTAAATAATGACTAGTATAACCTGTAAATCAATGAATCAGGGTTAACAAATACACTCAACTGGGGGAGGGTATCATTTACCTAACCACTTCCTGGACTATACCAAATACTTCATTCCTTTCTTGTATAATGCGTAAAACATATAAACTTAATGTGTGTTTTACCCATTTATGATCTTCATTTATTCTAAACAAACAACTTATTATTAAATTATTGATTATCGTCGTCACCTAATATTCATCTACCCGATAGATTTTTTCACTTATCAACGTTGAAATGAATATCTAAGCGAATAATGATTAGAGTTTCTATGTCAAAGCATAAAAATATGTGAAAGATCGATTATATATATGCCCTATGAAATCTTATTAATTATCACATATGCATACCCGTACACCCACACACACACACTGATGAATCAACATTTGGCATTCCCTGACAAGAGCGCATGATAGAAAGTTTCTTCAATGAATAAATGTTATGGGGTAAATCAATTACAGTAATTAATTACACATTACATGTGTGTGTATATGTGTATTTGATTGAATCGGAGGTAAATTATTGACAGAAAAGACAATATCACAATCATTTTTAATGTATGATGACAACACATGAGATTCATTATGCATGGAGTAGAACAGAAATTAAAATACGGTGTTTAACCACAGATTGTTTTTTTTAAAGCAAATAACTAGATAAATGACAGTATTATATTGTGCACTAAAGTTTGTGAAGTTATGGCGTAGGTGTTAAGTTGTTTGGATTCTAGTCACTAAGTCACGGGTCCGAATCCCACACAGAGCTGGCTTTAATTTTGCCAGTCAAGTAGTATTACTAATTCTCACATAATCAGTTGTAATTAGTATGACACCTTGCATAAGCGTGCATAACCGGTCCACGTTCCCATATTACACTACTAAATCAATGTGGAGCAACCAACGAATTACTATAATAAGTTGATAAGTCTTATCGATTGAACGCTATATTAGTTTCCTAAGCTATTCTGGTACCCCGAAAGCTAGAACTGCATAGCGACTTGAACACCAGAGAGAAGACGCAAGTATGAGGGGAAATACTTTACTCCGAGTTTCATTTTATTACAGAAAATATGGGTTTTTTTATAATATATCTAAATGTCCTTGGGTCGCTGGAATATTCTGGAATGCTACTAAACATAGTAGCACTGTAGTAACCAACCAATCAGAGCTTCCGCATGTGACGTTTCGCTACCTTGATATTTCTGGCCAAGACTCCAAGTGAACGTTGATTGGACGAAACACTTCTTAGTGTTTCTTGATGCTTGCTTGTCTTTTGCAAGCGATTTATGGATCACCCCAACATAAGTAATATCATTGATTTTTAGGAAAATGTTAAACATAAAGTCAGTTGTTTCGAAGGGATTGAATTCATGGAAAAAAGTGTAATTCGATACCGAATAAATTTTTGTGTGGCGATGCAGCCACCTGGGGTCTCCTATCGCTAATCACGATTACCTTACGAATCCCATCATATAGCTTGAACCAACCAAAATACCTCAAACCAACAGCATATAACTTCCTTGACTTCATACTTCAGCTTTTAACTAGTTTTGTTCCAACATACACTTACTCTACCGAGTATTTCTTGTCAAAGTGGAAGGTATTTATGCATACACAACTTATTTTATAGTTACTTTATTTAACTAAGATTCTGTTTTATCAACCATCTTTACTACACAAAAAAGTCAGCATTACTTGCACGGTTATACGATAATACTCATAAGAGATCCTTGTCTTCCACTTTTTAAAAAACGCATCTCTCAATTTTAAGGTCAAATTAAACAGACTACTGTTCAGTTTACTCACTATTTGATAGACTGGTTTTTGCGTACACAGAGTGTGCTTCAAAGCAGTTCGTTGATTGAGTTACCTTTTTTATTTGATGAACGAAATCTCATAGAACTGACTGACAACAAGTAATTTGTGTAATTATTAAAGAAAGTAACACAAGATGAGGTTTATAGACGAACCAGTCACATGTAAGATAACAGGTCTCATATTTTTGGCGCGAAATTCACTCATCCATTTGAATAGATAAAGTTTCACTGTTCACAATTGATTGATCACTGAGTGGTGATCAATGTCATGTGTGTCAAGTCCTTAGTGCAGATCGAATGCTATAGACCAAGTTGTAATGTGGTGACTAGTCTAGGTGGCTCGACATTGCATGCACTATGCTGAGATAAGATAGTGTTTGGAAGCAGTCAACAGGAAACCCTGGTCCCGGGATTCGTGCTATTTGGCACTCGTCAGCAAGGTGTACCTGTAATCTTGATGGAATTGGTGCTCCCTGATGGATTCGATCTTGTGTCACCCAGCTTCACCGTCAGAGACGTTACTACTGGGCTATTCGGGTCGCAGCTGACCTCCTGTAGGACTGAGATGTATTTAAAATTAATTGATCACTGGGCGGTGATCAATGTCATGTATGTCAGGTTCTTCTTGATTCAGATCGAATGCTATCAATGTTGAGTCCCACTGTAAATCTAATCAAACAATTAATGAACACATAGTCAATTCAATTCTAGCTTTTCAACAATACCAACAAATACTTCTTAAAACACATCAAATTATTTCACCGGCTTTCTTCCGTTTCTTTTTTTAAAAAAAGGTATGTTAAAAGTTTGCAGCAGAAAAGGTTTACTGTTTTTTTTAGACAAGTTTCTATCAATTTAATGATAAATTTGGAATTTCCATAGAAACTTAATTAGTGTGTACGTCATTTATATAAAACTAAGTAATTTGTTTCATCAATACTAATTTATTATTATCATAATTGAGTTAGATTTAATCATAGAAATGTATATTGGCGGTTAGTTCAAACATTTGTGATACATCTTTTCTTTTTTTCTGTTCAGTTATGCAATTACAATGCAATAATGGTAGTATAGAATATGGTTGAAAAGTTAGATCACAATCATATTGACCGTTATTTTGTATCTATAACCTTGAATAGCTTAGTTCATGAGTTGAGCATTCAGTATCGGAAGTGCTTGAAGTTGGTTGGTTGTGTGTGTGTGTGTGTGTTAATTCACATAAGTTCTTGATTTTCATATACTTATGTAGTCGGTTGATTTATGAAAACCTAAAAGAAAAACAAGTCGTTTAGAACCATTTAAGTGTATTTCTTTCCTTATGTAAATATCAGATTCCTTATCGTATAACTGTCTATTGGGAAGTCCACGTTATACCCGTTTTGTCTAACATTGTATTCGACTCAAGAAATAATGCAATATTGGTAAATATAGTGAAGTGCATTGTGGAAAGCATCCCAAACGAAGAAAAGTTTGTTTGACAAAGTCGTTCAAACCGGTCATCTATATCCACCGACACATGCCTCAAAATGGAACATTGATCAGTAGTACTGTATATTATTCTCTTAAACTTATGAAAATATTACCAATGTAAATGAACAGTCTATAGAATTGCATGTCATTATATTTACTGTTATTATGTTATTTCTTGAGTCGAATATAATGTTAGACGGGATGGGTATAACGGGGTTTTCTGAATGGACATTTATACAATTAAGAGTCTGATGTTTACACGAGGAAAGAAGCACACTTAAATGGTTCTCAACAACTTGTTTTTCTTCTAGGTTTTCAGAAGTCAACCGACTACATTACTTACCTACTCCTGTTACTCCCAATGTAGCATAGGCCACCGACCAGCATTCTTCAAACCACTCTGTCCTGGACCTTCCTTTCCAGTTCTATCCAATTGTTGTTCATTTTTCTCATGTCTGTCTCCATTTCTCGGCGTTATGTGTTCTTTGGTCTTCCTCTTCTCCTTTGACCTTGAAGATTCCATGTGAGGGCTTGCCTTGTGACGCAGTTGGGTGCTTTCCTCAATGTGTGTCCTATCCACTTCCATCACTTCTGATTTCTTCCTCCACTGAGATCTGGTTTGTTCTCTCCCATAGTAGGTTGTTGCTAATAGTGTCCGGTCAACGGATCCGAAGTATTTTACGTAGACAACTGTTAATAAACACGTGTATCTTCTGGATGATTGCTTTCGTAGTTTCCGCCCCATACAGTAGAACTGTCTTGACATTTGTATTGAACATTCTGACCTTGGTGTTGGTTGACAGACAGTTGCTTTGAGCTCTAGATGTTCTTCAGTTGTAAATATGCTGCTCTTGCTTTACCGATCTGCGCTTTCACATGTGCATCAGATCCACTATGTTTAGCAATAATGCTGCCCAGATATGTAAAGGTTTTTACATTCTTCTAATCTTCTCCGTCAAGTATGATTCGATTGTTGCATGTTGTGTTGTATCGGAGAATCTTGCTTTTCCCTTTGTGTTTGTTGAGACTTACTGCTGCTGAGTCTGCTTCTACACTGGTCGTTTTCTCCTGCATTTGTTGTTGCGTGTGCGATAGAAGAGTCAGATCATCTGCGAAGTTTAGATCGTCCAGCTGCATCCAACCGACTACATAAGTATGTGAAAATCAAGAACTTGTGTGATTTAACACATACAACCAACCTCAGGCACTTCCAAAACTGAAGTTTCACACCTTGAACTAATCTATTTAAAGTTGTTGGGACGAAATGGATATGACTCGGATCTAAATTTTTAGCTTTCTTGTTAAGATATATTAATAGACAAACTAAACTGCTTACTCAGGTGTGTTGTGGTATGTTGTGAAGCTGTGCAGTTGGATCTTCTAATTTTATGATGGTCTCAAGGCTTTTCTGATAATAAGAAGTGACATCGTCTATTCGGTCCTGTTTATTCTATATTTGTAAACTATTCAGACAGACTTTTAATGGGATTTTTTACCAAGTACAGATTTAAACGATTGGTCATGCTCTGCTATTGACTTAAGCTTACTAGCCGTGCTGCTCGGATGTGCATTTGGCTAAATTAGAGACGCTAAGCCATGGAATAAATAATGGATGCAAAATAGACCAAAGTAGAATCGAAATTCGGATTGGTGGCCCGTCATGTGATATGTTTGCCAGAGGTCACAAGACAATAAAATCTCTTGCAAAAATATCCATAGTATCTGTGCTGAAGAACGATATTTAAATCACAAAGCATTCATCTTACACTACCTCCTAGGGGAATTTCAAGTGCAACCTTGAGATTAGCAAAACAAAAATAAACTACAGCATGCAGTTTTCCTGTAACAAAAGCCGTAAAACACAGAATAATATTAAAATAGTAGAGAATTAGGAGTTTTAACATCATTCTGGGAGCTAAATATAGATAATTTAGTCTTTAGTTCATTGTTCTGTAGTGAGTTTATGCCCTAATTATTAGTTCATTATCTTTTAAAACCTAATAACTAACCCTAAAACTAATCAACTCTGGCTTTTTTTATACTCCTAACCCTAACTTATTGACCTTAATACTTCATTCCACATGTGAACTATTATCCAATCTTTTTAAAATATGAAATATACTGAAAGTCATAAGTTTCAACAACAATCTATCTTCACTATAGCGGTTCGCGTCTAGACAGTTGGTGCTTTGTGTAATAGGGGAGTATCCATAGTAGCGTGATGGAGGGAACTGGAATAGAGTAGAATAAAAGAAATGGTGAATCGACAACTCAACCAGAGCACACAATACACTTACATTTAATATGGAAAATAATAGACAATAGTCAGAAATAAGGCAAGCCTCAAATTAAGACAATCTTGGACTTGAAACTTGAAGCAAGATAGTTTAGCTCGCTCACATGCAATAGCGTTATTAATTCTCCTATCGTCTAACTTAATTTGGATTGATTCCTAAAGTCCGTCGGTATCATATAGTTTTACCTCTAATTATGATTATTTAATCAAATTAAACCTTTTACTGTAGTAAAATTAAGTTTCTCTGTGACTATGTCATAGAGTGATGTATTTGTTATTTTCTTTAATTATTCATTATATAGATGGTTGAATTTTGTCAGAGAATTTATTCATCATTTATTCTGTTCACCGGATCCATCTTCACTTATTAATAATACATTAAATACTGATACAAGCCTTGTTACTATAGCAAATGAAGCGTATACACGATGTTTACGACCTTTTCATTCATGGTCTGTACGAGGTATGGCTATGGTAAGTAGTAATTTGATATTTACATTTGAATTAAACAATAGAATGATCTATTTTATTCATATGAATCAAACATAATGTGAAATGAAATTGATGAAGGTCTCTGTGACCTTGGTTACCTGTATAGTTAGTTGAATTGATAATAATCGTAGAGTGATAGGTTAATCATAAACGTTCTTAGCTTTCAATAAATAGATTGCAATGTTTAAAATCGTTCTATACACTTTGGTTTGGACACCCGACTAACCATATCACTAATAATTCCTTCAAATACAAAGTTACAAATTTACATACTTGGATTAGATTTACTCAATATGTAAGTGAGTTGCATGAATGTTTTTTAGATGATCGAATACAATGAGAAATTCTGGATGTAGTTTTTGTGCTGAATAATAATCTTAGTCATATATTTCAGCTTAAATAATCAAATTTAGTCATTAATTGGACAAGACAAACATAACCTTGTTCACTACTCAGTATTATGAATCGGTGTCTATATCTGCGTAAAATAGCTTAATTACAGCTTTTCTTATTGTAACAGTGAGTTACACTGCGTTAACTCGTTTGAGGATCATCACTCTCTTAAAGAGTGGAAATATACTATTCTGACGAGTTCCCTTAAGATTACATGTACACTTTACTGATAGTTAGTATCAAATAGTATGAAATCTAGGTCAAACAGGTTTTCCTATCCACTACCTTTAACTTTCTTACAAGAAGTATATCGCTCCAATTGTAGTGAACAGAACACGGGTGGGGACAACGGAATCATATTTTGCACAACATTACAGAGTTACTTGGTGAAATAGAAAAACCATACTATAATACTTCATTTGCAAAATGTTCAGTAATTGTCTCGGAATTCATTGTTCTTGCATTTCTATACTAATTGCTTTCTATTCCCACTCTTCCTTTCTTGATCTTCCCCATCTTTTGCCGCCAGACATTACATTCCTGACTCGTGTCATATACTACTTATATATATAAGTATATATAAGTAGCACGCGCATAGGATAGTCTTTATCGTTTGATTAAAAAAGAATTATTAGTATTTATTTGCCAATATAAACCTAAAAATTAAAAGATCATTTAATGATTTATACAGCATAGTCCAACTATAAAATTGTCCGGTAAGATTTGTCCAAACTTTGTTCTTTTTTTTAAAAGTACACACATTATTTCATAGACCAACAATCCAATCAAACCAGTTTTCTGTCACTATTTTGAGCTTTCAATAATTCTCAACATCAACTAGAACACTTTTAGAGTTTATTATTCTCGAACTTTATTCATCAATAGTGAATGAGTATAATTCATATTAGATTGTGATGAATGGTTGACATTGTTATAACTTGTGAGTTTGTGCCCCTATCAATGTATAACATAATGATACCTGCAATTAGAGGACAGTGATTTATCGACCGGACCAATGACGCATAAAACAAGCAGGAGTAGTCTAGAGACCTTATCGGTCCTTCTTCTTGCCTATATCTGTCTGTTGGGTCAAGAACACCAACCTCAGCCTCTATGATATGAATCATGTATTTCAGACATGCTTGGGTTATGTACAAACCAAGACCGACCATATCATACCATGAAATAGAAAATACACATTTGTACAAGATTTCCTCTTGCAAAATTCTTTTCATCTCTTTCATTCTCTTCTATTTTTTTTCTTTAGGTTATTATACAATCACTTCCTTCACGTTTATACTTATTTGAATTATTATTAATGGATAATCCAGAAACAATTCCATCGTCAATCACTTCATCGACTGGATTACCTCTTGGGTCTTTCAATGAAACTAAATCATTATTAATACGTTATCCAGAGGCATATATTCAATTAAAATCAGATGCTACACGTTATTCCGAAGCATTAGGTCGTTTCTTAACATTAATCGAAGGTCTTTTAGCCAGTTTAGATTTAAATCGTATATTCACTGGGTCAGAAAGTTATTAATATAGAGAATGAGGACGGGGGGGTGTGTGTCTGTTTCGTAACTTTATCTTCTTTAATCCTCATCATATCAGTGTAATTTCGTTGTTTACATTGAACACATTCCTTACTTTGTTTTTATATATTATGGCTGTTTCTAATATCAACCTATAAACTATTCATTTAAAACTATTTTTCTATGTATAGTCTCTTTTTTTTGTTTTTATAATTTTTTTGTTTATATGTGTTGTCTTTTTGTTTGTGTGTTTGTTATTTCCTTTTTTTCTTTTATTTTTTTCTTGTTCTTTTTACTCGATGAATTATTTATTGTGTTTTTTTCTCTCTCTCTCTCATCATTCATAAGCATATTTAAACTACAGATTGAAAGAGTAAGTGGTGGAATCAATCATTTCATGTTTCGTTTGTTTGTTTGTTTGTTTGTTTGTGTTCGTATGTGTACACTTCAAAGAGAGAAAGCGAGAGGGAAATATGGGGGGGAGTAATTTCCACCCTGTTTTCCATTTCATATGTTTTAGTTGCCAACGCTCTACATCTACTCATATATATACATAATTATTGTCATTGTCATGATACAATTTGTTACGTATCTAATTTATTCGATGCAAAATTTGTTGCGTAAGAGTTTATTCTGTTTGTTATTTCAATGAAATTTTATGTATTTTTTATTCAGTTTATCAGGATTATATCCAGATTTTATGTACACGAATTTGTGTGTATTCACCAACTTATTTATAATTAATCTATCAATCATGATGATTTAGTCCTTTTTGTTTAATACTGATTGAATTATATCCACCAAGTTACAATGTGACTATTAGTCTAACTGACTTGACATCATATGAATCATGTTTTTATGACTTGTGGCCTTGTGTCCCATTAATATGTGATGTGATGATACTGCTCATTAGAGAACAATGACTTGTCGACCGGACCAATGACGTATAAACCCGTACGAACAATCTGAAGTCCTTATTGATCCTTCTTCCTGCCTAACCCTACCTGTTCGAGTTCAGAACACCAATCTCAGCCTCTGACATATGAATAATCTTTTTCAAACATAATGGGTTTATGTACAAACCAAACAGACCACTGATAAGTCTTGCTAATTGAACACACTATATTCGATTCCTAAGCTATTCTCGTAACCCTAAAGCTAGAACTACACAGCGACCTGAACACGTGAGAAAAGACTCAAAATATGCGAGAAGTACTTTACTCCAAAGGTTCTTTCTAGTATAGAAAATATGTGGAGATAGACCCGACAAGCTTATTTTGTAAATAAGCCTGTCAGGCCTATGTCCACGTTTATACATCGTCTGGTCCACCACAAATATAGGGTTTTTATAGTATTTTCGATGTCCTTGGGTTTCTCGAAAATCCTGGAATACTACTAAACACAGTAGCAGTATAGTAATCAGCCAATCAGAAATTGTACATCTGACTTTTTACTTTCTTGATGTTTCTGGCTAAACTTTTAGTGAACGCTGATTGGATAAAATGTGTCTTAGTGATTGCTGAACCTTTGTTGTCTTTTGCGAAAAGTCTTCTGGACCACCCCATCAACCACATTACACCACAAAACAGAAAATACGCATTTGTACAAAATCCTGCCAAAGGTGGCTATTAATGTAGGGGACTGTAATTAATAGACTGGGCATAACTCAATAATAGTGAATCGTATAATAATAGTTCATAGGTCAAAACAAAGCTTATGATAAGAGGAACCTGAATATGAATACTTTGTTACTTGACAATTATACAATAATAATATATGTATATTATTAGTTCAGAAATACATTCCGACAGTTACCATTCATTATTCTCATTGTGATATAACACCATGTTAAGATGTCACGTGATTGGAGGTGGTGTATATCTAATCCTCTAAAGGCGATAGGCTTCGTAGTGGCTGGTAGTAGTTGTTAAGCTGTATCTGTAACCTTGAGGCAGTTCATATTACATGTCGGTCCTGAATCCTTGTCGCTTAGCCTCGCAGTCGGAGATGTTACCACTGGTCTATTCGAATCGCTACTCACATTTAAAGTTGAAATATTTGCAATCGATTTATAAGTAGGTACTGACTAGTGTGATATCTGTCTAATACTTCAGTGCTGGTTTGATTCTATCCTATTATCGTAAAGTTCTTAATACACTTCATCGGATACTTTTCTAAGTTTAACGGTATTTATGGTCACTAGACTGTACTAATCTGTGCATCATATTTAGGTCTTAAAAAAAACATACTAGTGCGCTGTCATTAGTTATTGACATGTCTTAGACCCAATTCTGATAATTTCTCGCCTAGATTTTATTCTGTCAGTCTTAAACAAACCAGAATTGAACATGCATGTACATCCATTTAATTTGTCATATCACATTAGTTCAACTCAATGAAATTATCGAGACGTGTGTTAGAGTAGTGGGAATGGTATTATGCATAGACAATATACCTTGGGGAAAAGTGTATTTGTGCAATAAAAGCTTTGACTCAAATAGCAGGATGATATATTTCTCATTCTTGTTGTAATCCCGACTAATCCAAAAGACGGTCTTACAAGAAGAATCAGTTGGCAAACAAACAAAGAAGGCACGTTCTTGTGATAAATAGTCACAAAAACTTTGAAATAAGATAAAACTATAGTGCGCTAGGAGATTCCAAACGAATATAAGTTAAAGTTACATCTTAAGAAGAAGATTTCCTTTAAGTTTTCCCCAAGAAAATGAACATTAAGGCTTTAGGAAAATAATGACAAAAAGATGTGTTTTCCTGGGAGGATTAAGTGTCATTATCAGTTATTCCTTAATTGTCGTGTGTTTTGAACTCTTTCTCAAAGCGTGCATTTATCAATCACTCTCTAATTAACAGTAAGCCCATCTAAAATATAACAAGTTAGAGACACTATATGAGTGTCCATGACAAATCAAGCGATGTGGGCTAACTGAGTTCTGTCAATCACAGTTATATGACAGTGTTTATACGTTTGTTCTTCATCTCTATATAGCTCAGTTACTCCTGTGTTTTACACTGTACTACTTACTAATACTCAGTAACCAACTTCATTTTGGATTGTTTTGAGTATGTGGTTAGTGGTACTACGCAGTGTATCAAAGCTAATGGCTGAAGACCTTTGTTATCAGCAAGCACAGTATCACTGAAATTCATGAGCAATCTGAATTGATCTCCAAAACTATCTTCATCGATTTCCTTGTCCACCATCTGTCACCACTGTTGTGTTTTGGGTGTTAATTAGTGGTGTGGCGTTCGTGCGCGAGACTGAACGTCATGGGTTCGAGTCCCATGTATGGTGTCATGGGTACGTACTGCTGTAGAGCACCGTAATGAGACTATACGTCTATCCAGTGCTTCTAGGTTTTCAATGGTAGTCTAGCTTAGATCGATTCGTGAATTCAACAGTATGAACCTGCTTTAATGTGTAGTGTTAGTCATTAATTTTAGCCCATAATATATCTTATTCTAGTTTCCGGACATTCCATTCTACTCATTCTACTTGAGTCATGTTTTGACCTTGTTAATTATTCGCTTGTTAGCCTTGACTGTATTCATGTGAGCGTATATGTATGTACACTTGATGTCCCATGACTCATCACATGTCTGTAGTTCATTTTGTCTGCCTATAAATATTGAGTAATGTTCGGCTTGAATTGGAGTTGGCTTCCCAGCCATCTTCCATACGTGTCAAAATTGCTTTGTTATGGCTCTCGCTCACTTAGCATGCGAACGGGCTACTAAATTGGTAAGCCCGCCGACGACGAACGCAACGCAGCAAGCTACGTCGATGAAGGCACTTCTGCACTCTATACGTTCGACGAACATATTCAGCGAAGCCAGCGCAATCTCCAATCCGACGCAATCAGCACAGCCTGTGCAACATGACATGGACATGCTCAAGTCGTATTATCTTATCGATACTTTGTCCTCATGTCAATTATCCTCATTGATCCATTCGTCGGTTTGTTTGATTACGATTCAAATTATCATTAAATGCTTATTATTACATTATTATCAATATCATGACCGAATGTGGAATTATTAATCTTGTTCGTGCTGTCATTAAATCATGACATTTTCGCAATCATATTACTCACCGAACAAATTATTATTTTATGAAAATTCCACTTTACGTAATGGCATCTAGAACTCATTGGAATATTTTTACTATTCAAAAACGTGAGATTTTCCTGCTTTAAGTGAGTTCGTTCCAATTTTTTTCATGTCATTTTGATCTAATATTACATTCATTCACTTAGACGAGGTCGGCAATTTATGTTATCACAACATACATTTTTCATTTCGAAGTCGCCTCCTATTATGTATGTGGATGCTTCTGACTAGCTGATTAGTAACCATTACGCTCATTTTATCTATTCTTCCACGTGCGTAACTACATGCTGCATCACTTATCACTCAAAAACGCTATTCGAGTACTGCAATTACTATTCTATACCCATCGCTCGGTATATCAGAACATAGAGTTTAGAGCTAGCCTCTCAAAGATACACTCTTGTTCGTTACATCCAAGTCAGTCTCATACGTCGCAATCGCTAACCATATGTATTGGTATTTTTGTCATGCCTTGGCACGGTTTTGTAACAAACGAGATCGAGCGCATCTCCCTCAAACCACACAAACCACTCTAGGCTTCATGACCAAAAAGGAATACGACTCTATGTACCTGGTCTACTCAGTCACTATTCTGTTCCTCTGGTCATTCTACTAATACATATTCAACGATAACTCGATGCATCTGTCATAACGCAGACGACAACGTTCACTGACTTCATATTTTATGATTATTATCAATTGCAGTACAGCAACGAATATCACCCGTCGATGCAGATATCGTTCCACGACTTGCCTATTATCATCCTACGCAATTAAATTCGAATTCACTCATCACTAGTCAATGCGATTTATTCTGCTGCGGCTCAACAGAACATATATTTCGCATATTTCACTATTTCGTCAGCATCACAGACTAATTTCTGTCATATTCTACTGTACTCATTTTGACGATTTATTTCCCTGTCATATCCACAAACAATTTATTATTATTTTCACGATAATTTGAATCGCTCATATAAACGTGTTATTTTATCGTTCAGACAGTCATAGAATTAGTAGATGTTAAGTTTTTTGTATGCTCATTAATTTGCTCATATTCACATGCTAACATTTCCATTTTTGTCCGCGTCTTTTCTATATTCATGTATTCTTTTGCATAAGCATGACATTTTCATATAATACACTCACCCCTCATGTGACACTATTTTATCGAGTGTTGTACAATTTTTTTTTGCTACTTATTGTTAACGTTAGCTTCATATCACTTCAGTGTTATTTTCGAAAACAGACATTTTTTAAATGTGCTATTTTCTACGAGGGGGCTATGTAGTGTTAGTCATTAATTTTAGCCCATAATATATCTTATTCTAGTTTCCGGACATTCCATTCTACTCATTCTACTTGAGTCATGTTTTGACCTTGTTAATTATTCGCTTGTTAGCCTTGACTGTATTCATGTGAGCGTATATGTATGTACACTTGATGTCCCATGACTCATCACATGTCTGTAGTTCATTTTGTCTGCCTATAAATATTGAGTAATGTTCGGCTTGAATTGGAGTTGGCTTCCCAGCCATCTTCCATACGTGTCAAAATTGCTTTGTTATGGCTCTCGCTCACTTAGCATGCGAACGGGCTATTAAAAATGTTGAAACCGAAAGAGCGGTTAACGGCAAGGAACGACATTTCGCCGTTAATAGTCCAAATGCTAGTAAGGGCTTGATAAGTCGAGAATCCAACAACATTATATTCCGCATAGAATTAAAAAGCGACTGCATTGTTTGTGTAGCCACTATACTTACAGCACAGACTCAACAAATTCTGAACGAAATCGGAATTTTAACTATTCACCTTGGATTTTCCAATTTTTTAATTTGTATTTCTCATCTTTCAGTTTTAGGGAGTGATAGACAGTCGATAACATATTGCTTCTCCTAAATCCTTCAATGATACTATATTTTAACCACTG